GAAATAGGTGATCGATCATAAAGAAGTAGCATAGCACACATTGTGTAACAGTGAATTAAAGGAAAGTATCATACATGCACAGTGCAATGAAGAACGGAAAATAGAAGGGTACAGCTATGAAAGTTTAGAAAGGAAGAAGCATGATGAGTTGTCTGGGGTAAGAAATCATAGAGCCATAGCTAGCTACATAGCTAGGGCGGCATGGCAGTAGAGGGATCCTGACGCTCTCAGCTTTCTTTCCTCTGTGCACCTATTCAACCCAAGATTATTATATTCCCTTAGTTTTATTCTAGGGATTTATTACTCTTATGTTGCATAAAATATAATCTATCTCCTACACACAAACTCAAAATGGGTCCCACTTTACTTTTTCTCTCTCTTCCCCTAAAAATGGATCCCACTTGCACCAATGAGTGTGTAGGAGATAATACATATCTTCTACAACATAAGAAAACTATTACCTTTTATTCTAATCATTTTAAAAATAATATTTGATGTTCTAATAAATTAAAAAAAAAAAAAAAAAAACTCTGCATTAAATTATAAAATAATTGAAAAATAAGAATAATAAATTTTAATATATATTATATTATTAATCTCAATGGTTAATATAAATATCAAATTTATTAATTATATAAATTGTTATATGCTAATGAGATCAACCATTAAAAGCGAATTAGTAACTTGTAAAATAAAAAAAGCTAAAGGGTGCAGTAATGATTGATTATACATGGTTTATAGTAAAATGATGCTACCCTAAATATAAAAGATCAACTTACATTAATATAAAATTAATAAATTATGGAAAAAATATTTCTGCTGCAGAAATATTATCTGCATTTATTTCTAAAATAACGTTCATTTAGTATTGAAATCTTAAAAAATTATAAATTTTAAAAAATTATAAATATAAAAATTATTATAACTCTGAAATAAATTAAAATTATAAAAACAATATGATTTTCGTTCAAAATAACGTCGTATTAGACTTACTTTATTTGCAGTAACTGCAGAAAAAATAATCCATAAATTATATATCCAATTTTATTTACTGATTTATCTATATTTAATATCATCTTTAATTTATTAATTATATGAATAATTAAAATCAATAATTAAGATTAAGATTCTCCTAATAAGTTTATAATTTTTCATTCCGCTATCGGTGTCTCGCATCAAATGTATTAAGCACCTACCTTATCAGGACGAGGCATGCATGGCCAATTACATATAAATAGGGTCACACTCACAATATAAATACACTGTTGCTCCTTCTGGCGAGGGACAAAAAGGCCCAGACCCTACAATTATTGGGTTCCGGAACAAAAGAAGAGGCTCTCGTTCGGGAAAATATTTTTGGTTGTATTGAGCATTCGGTATATTTTTTATTAAATATAAAAATATAACATATTTATATTCCCAAAGATAATACTTATAAAAAAGTAATATATTTATAAAAAAAATAACATATTAATAATTATTTTCTTACGTATTTTTTATTCCAGAAAAGGTAATACTTATTTCGTGAATACCGAAAATATGCTCCTCGTTCAGAATTTCTATGCAATTTTTGGCTCGTTTTGGATGTATGCATAATAACTGTACTGAGATCAACCTCAGTTGTCAATTCATGTTTTGGGTTATTTCAATTCAATGTCATTTCTGAATTTTCACTTCCCAGCAATCGAGAAAAGAGCAGCACCAACAAATGCACATCACTTTCCTTTTAGTACGATCATTTACAGTACCGAGTCCTGACTTCACCATTTGATTTCAACCAATTTCTTATGGTCAACCAGACAATGATGCATCTACGATCCATGTCCTATGACCACGGGATGTATGTATGTCTGGAGTGGATTTTTTTATATGAAAAAGTGGTCATGTGATCATGTTATTTGATCATAACCATTCATTGATGATAAAATAAGAAAAAAAATTATATAATTTTTAAATAAGTGGCTGTGATCAAATAATATGATCACATGATCACTTTTTCACATAAGAATATTCACTCTCATGTTTGTCTATTATTTTGCGCTAACATATTTCTTGTCTTTTATTTAATTAATATATTATCCAGTATGTTTTAAAATATAAATTTATATATAATCTAAGTATTCTACATACTAATTGCTTATTTCATCGACATATTACATAGATAACTGTTTGGATCCTTTTTAATTAGGAAAAATATTATCTTATGCTGTAGGAGAGTATTTTTTTCTCCTACACATACATTGACTCCCGTGTTATTTTTTTTCCTTTTTTTTTAAGTGAGCAGGTCCTACTTATAACTATCTCTATGACATATGAAAACTTCTCTTATGTCGCATGAGATTAATAAAATCCTTTTAATTAATGATAAATCTTCTATTTAATTAATGTTTCTCTCTTAGAAATCCTTATGAGTTATGACGAATTAATTGGTGAGGCTGAGGCTCTATTTCCTTTGACGATTCCCACTGAGCCTTTGCATGCGTTGTAAAGGTACGTGATTTTGTGACAGCTAAGTTCTGTAAACTCTGATTCGAGCTGTGGGAATAGGCCCATAGACCTGTAAGATATAGACAATCCAATTAATTATCCAGTTGGCTGTGTTATAGATCTGAATTTATATATACTTGTTTGTGCTGTGTTAGTGTTAGACAGCTTCAACTGAGATGTTCACACTTCACACATCTACAAAAGCTACAACTACTCAGAATGGCCAAGTAATTGTCTGGCATATTAGAAATATCGACAATTCGATTAAATAAATCGATTAAAACATTAGTTTTGACATCATGTTCTGTTTTCTACTGATTTTTTTTGACTTAAACGAGTTTCTAAATTCATTAACTTAGTTAATGTGACTCGGAGAACATGTTTTCAGACACAAAATACAAACGTGCATGTTCAATTCCCTAAATTCCATCAGATTGTACTTTGACGTTGGTTTAAGAGTGTACTAAAACATTAGTGTATTTAAAAAAAAAAAAAAAACATTAGTGAACCACACATGATACCTAATAGTGATTGTTCTGACTTGTAATGAAATATTATGACTTGTTGCATTAGTCATTTACCTGTGTTGAACAATTTAGCACAAGAGTGGCGTATATGTCATTTGTGGGTAATTGATTACAACATAAAAGTATTTTCCATAAACGAAAAGAAACATTAATTTTATTACATCAAATAGTTTGGTAAATAAAAGAAATACATGAAATAAACCAAAAACACATTAACTAAAAATTAAACTCTAAATCTAATCTTCGTCCTCATCAGATTTCGTCTCCTTGTCCTCTTCATCTGACACATGAGCCCCCTTCCCTGCTGGCTCCTGAACCTCGTGTCCTCGTGCAAGCTCCAGATGAGCAAGCCTATCCTCTATACCCTTGAATCGACTCTGAATGTGCCTAAACTTTTCATTCCCTTTCTAGATATGACTCTTCCTCCATTTTTTTTTTTGTTTATGCATCATCTTTCCTATCTTCTTAAGTGTGGCATTTATGCCCTTCATGACATCACGCAAGGATAATCCACCCTTAGGCTCAGCTTTCTTGTTGCGACTTCAACAAGTGCACCGGTCGTACAAATAATAAAGTAATAAAATAAAGTTGTCGATCCCACGAGGACTGATGACCCATCACTAATTTACCTATTCAATTAAAGTTGGATCCATCGTAAAAGTTTTTCTTGAGAATATTCTAATTTAATTAAAACTGAATTTTTAAACTACTTATTTTTAGTTTTCAATATTTAAGAAATTAAATTCAGAATTAATAATGATAAAAATTTGGTTTTAAGTTTTAATAAAAGACGTAGCTAGAACTCGACTTCCCCAATGTTTTCCTAACGAGTTTACCTATTCTTATAATTAACATTCAAGATAAGTTATCAACAGTGCTTTCTATATTTAATTAGATCACAATCCCTTGGTAATCTGATCTTTTACTTCACTCAAAAGCCTAATCCCTAACCCCCAAGGGTAGCTCAGTTGGGAGCTGAGCTCCCAAGGGATTGCTTGGTGCAGGGATCAAACCCTGTCTCAAGCAGTTTCTTGGAAAATCTTTGGGGGCCAGAGGATAAGCCAAAAAATCTTCGGTTGGGGGATTAGTCTCGTCCTTTCTCCGGTTGCGAAGCTTAGTGCACCCACTGTTACAATGAGGGGCTAGCCCAAACGGGCCGTACCCCGAGGGCATGGTGCCCGGAGAAGGTTGAATGGGGATACCTCCTGGCAATGTACCAAAAAAAAAAAGTCTAATCCCTTAATACTTTTTCATAAAGCAAGCATTAACGCAAAAACTATACAGTTATAGAATTTATAAGTCTATCCCTAGATCATATAAATTTTAGCAATTAATCAATCGGAATCAAAACACCAACATTCCTATTGTCATGCAAGATTCTAATGCTCATCCAAGATTGGCCATATCATAAACGAGACTAGGAATTTAAAACAGATTAATTGCATAACTTTAAATCAAGAATATAAATCATAAGAAAGGTAAACAGCGTTTAAGAACCCATTGGTTTCGTCTCGCCCTAACTACTTAAAGAAAATTAGCCTGACATAATCAGGAAAACAAGAACAATAAATGAAAAGAAACTAAAATTCATAAAAGAAAAATAAAACCCGATCTCCACGGTGAAGCTTTGACCGTTCCTCCGCTCCTCTACCTCGTCCTCCGAATTTTTGGAATGAGCCCTAACGTGTGTTTTTTTATAGAAATAAAAATGGGCTTTTTAATTTGGACAGGCTCATTGAAGATTAATTTTGACTAATTCTTTATTTTTCTTGATCCTTATCCTTTGCAACTGATCCCAACTACCTTTCCATCAGATTAGTGATTTGTTACATTGAACCTGAAACAGTATGAAAAGATATCAAAATCTTATCTAGTTGTTAGAATCTTAATATCTTTTGGATTTATTAATTAACACTATATTTTTAATTATATTAATCATTATTTAAGCTAATTTTAATCTTAAAAATATAGTGTATATGACACTTATCATATCTCCTGCAGGTCAGCCTCATCATCCTTCTCCTCCTCCCAGTCTTCCTCTTCAGGCTCAATCATGTGTGCATTTGGGGCAACATCAAGCACCTCTACCTCAACCGTACCTGAGAACTGCCACACACCCGCCCTGTTCTTGGAGATCTTGCACTGCTCCAGTAGACACTTTCCAAACTTGGCAGTATAGCCTGTGGGCCTCTTCAGCTTCTCAGTGTCCATGGGAACACCAAAGTGAACCAATATCTTCTGAACCAGACATGCAAATGGAAGTGCACCTTTATGTTTGGCCTTATACATCATCCAGCAAATATAGTGCCTCCAGTTCACTTGTACGTCATGACAGATAACCCACATGATAGGAATGTAATGTTCCAGCACCCTAGAATGATTGAAAGCTCGCGAATGAATGGTTCGCCCACGTCTGATATCAGGCCTCCTGGCCTCCTCCACAGAATCACCTCGGACAAATCCAGGAAGTGATACACTGTTATCTGCATCATACTCTACAGTGGGCTGAGCATCAAAGTCATAGCCTAATACCTCCAACCATACCAGAGCCGTCATGACTATGTCCACACCGCAGACGCGGGACCTCAACTCTCCCTGTATGTAGCTGAGGTTGTGGTAGAAGGCCCTCACCATAACCTCTGAATATGGATATAGCATCTCAGCCAACTCTCTCAGATGTGCTGCCTCAAACACCGCCACAATCTGAAATCCCTCCGTCATAAAGAATGTCGTATCCAACGATTTTGGTGCACATAAGGGTCTGTTCACATGGTCATGTAGAAATGCAACATGTACCGACGGGTCATCCTCAAACAGGTGCCCAAATGGGAGGTCAACGGGCTCAGGCTCAGCGTCTTGTGGTCTCGAAGAAGAAGGCTGGTCTTGTCGTTGCTTCGTTCGTCTCTCACCGTCGGTGTTGCTTGATCTTCTGCGACCCGCCATTGCAAGAGAATCCCTACAATAACAAAATAATGCATCAACAACCAATAACAACAATAAAACAGAATAATAATAAATAAATAAAAATCATAAACATGCATAATTCGTCCAAAATTAATAAAACTTTAAAAACCATGAAAAAAACCTTAAATTCATCAAAACACATAACTACACAACCATGAAAACATAAAACGGCCTTATATATCATGCCAATAAAACAAACCCCCTACCCATTCGGTCCACACTTCTTAAATCCGAACAATAACAATTTTTTTTTACAAAACGAAGCAAACTTACCGTGGAGGATGGAGAAACTAATAGGAGACCTTGTTTTCTCAATCCACACGCTTGGACGAAGATTTGTGGAGTTAGATTCAGAGTTGGGGCTTTTCTTTCCTCTTTAATCTATTAGGGTTTGAAAATAACTCCCTCTTCCAAATGGGATTTTTTTAAAAAAACGTACCTGCCGATATTTAATCAATTAACTAAAGGAGTTAATCGATTAAATATCCCGAGTTTTGATCGATTAAGAGGGATATTAAATCAATTAAACATCGGGTCAACGTTTTTTTTGCGTATTTTGACCATTTAACCGATTAAATATTTAAGTTAATGATTAAAGAGAGGCAGGTTGGTAGATAATTTTGGGTAAGAGGAAAAATGGTTATTAATTATTAATGAGGGACAAAAAAGTCAAAACACTTGTTGAACAAGGTATGGTCATTGGTTTTGAATTCATATATTTTATATAATCATAAACAATAACTATAAGTAAATTTATTTCTAACTTCACAAGTATATAAAATATAATTTTATTCATATAAGTTAATTATTCAATAAGATAAAAAAATAAATTAATAAACAATAGTATTTATAATATATTCCAATTATACTTTCCATAGTAGGTGAAAGTATTTTAAATAATAAGTGAAATTCAATAGTACTTCTCTCTAAATAAATTTGATTTTTTTAATAATTTAAACTTTTTAAGTCCGTAAGTCCATATTTAGACAAAATTGTGTCATCCAATCTTGTGTTAAAAGACAATCAGATACAGATACATAAAGTACAGGAATAGATCCTCTCATTTAAAAAAAATATGATATGATTGTTTGAGACAATTATAATTATACAAAAATAAATCAATAATTATAATTTAATAACTATTTATTTTAATATATATTTTCTCTGCTCTTTTATTATTTTTGATCTACTTTTATATGATTATCATATAATCATATCGTGCCTTTTTTAACAACAAAAAAATCTACTTCCTAGAGTACATGTATATGGAGAGAAAAGAACCTCGAGCCAGTGATCTTTCCCAACATCAACATTATAATCTTTTTGCAATATAAATTGCTCCACGAGAGTATTTATAATAATCCTGACTCATTTATTTTTTCTATTGAGGAATTGTCACTTGTAAAAAAACAAAATTCATCTATTCTTCACATAAGCAAATCAAAAAATATTTAATTTTTATTAAATTAGACCACTGAATTATATATACACCTGGAGCATATTAAACATTTGTCTTGCTCTACATGATCAATAGCAGTATTTGGCCGTTGAATGGTTACATCAGGATCGAGAAGGGCATTGAGAACATAAATGAGACAGCAAAATATACCATAGTCAAGTAGAGATTGCTTGTCGATAGGCTGCAATAAATGTAGATAAAAGAACTACTGCTTAATGCTCACAAGAATATTTAAGGAATATACAATGGAAGGGGCTTATATTTTTATTTTATTTTTTTCTATTTTCAAATGAGTTATATGGGTTGCACAAATTTTTATATTTATGTAAAAGTTAAAGTTATCTCTTATAATATGAGAAACATTAATCTCATATATAATTATGCAAATAAAATTGGTTTTACCACACAAGACGACAAACCTAATCATTTTAATCACTAATGAGTAAAAGTAGAGAACAAATTCTCTCGTATTAAAATTTCACATCACCTAAGTCACTAAGGGAGGTGTATTGAATTATGATTTTAAAAGATTTTTTTGAGCTAAAAAATCTTATAAATTTTAAAAGACTATTTAGAATTGGAGAGACTTTAAAGACTTTTTTTACAATCGAGATTTCATAAGAGTGGATTTTAAAGGATTTTAATAGAATTTATAAGATTTGAAAGGACAATATAGATTTATAAGATTTTAAAAAATCATATGAATTTTTAACAAACATTCGAAATTACAAGAGTCAATAAAAAAAGGAAAGATTATACTTACAACATATTTTTGTTTACAACATTTTACAATCATATCTTAACTGTTGATTTCTGTTAATCAACGGTTATCATACATTGCAAATTAAATATTAATTAATGAGTTTGATTTGCGAAAATAATAATCGTTGATTGACGAAAATCAACGGTTAAGATATGGTTGTAAAAGGTTGTAAACAAAAGCAGGTTGTAAGTATAATCTCTCCAATAAAAAAAATAACAATGAAATGCAATGAAATTAATAAAAAAAAGTAAAACCTAATATAATTTTCTCAATCAGTAAAACATAATATAATTTTTAACAAACATTCAAAATTACTAAGCAACAGCTTTTCACATATCTAATGGGTTGAAAATTATCTTCTTTGTTTGGTATCAAAGTTCATGATAAAATTTCGTTTGAAATTTTTTGCAGTTGATCTTGAAAACTTTGGGGTTTGTATTTTACATGATGAGGGTTTTCTAACCATATATCATATGCATATTTTCATTGAATATTTTAAGAAAATTTTGAATCTGAAATTTTGGGTTTAATTACATGAAAGTTTAGAAAATTTATCAAAAAAATTTCAATTGATATATTAAAACCTTAAATTGCTTTGGGGCTTTTTAAAAAACAAACTTTTAGTTATCTATTAACACAAAAATTGTTTGAAATTTTTTCCTATAGAGAAGGAATTTCATTCATGAATGTATTGTTACGAAATATAGGGTTCATATTATGAAAGTTTCAATTTTTCTTTAAATTGATATTGTTTCATTGATGTAAAACGAAAATTGGTTTGAGGGTGTTAGTTCCCCTGTTATTTTTTCACTGTTTTATGTTGTTTTTTTCACTATTTTATGTTGTTTTTAATACAAAAATCACACGTTTTTGTGCCAAGAAAAACTGCGACCCATAGCTTGAAAAATCACTTTCCAAACTTTCAAAATTTCTCAAAAATGGCTCAAAAATATGTTATTTTTGAGATAGATTATATTAAAATCTCGTTGGTTTGTTGTTTCTGGGTTGCTTTGTGATGAAAATCGCTAAAAATATGCTCTTTTTTTTTTTAGTTTTGACGAAACTCCCATGGCAAAACCCAATTTCAAGCGGTCAACCTGCCAAAGGAATAAAAAAATACTGCAATAGAAGAATCTCAAGAAATCCTAGGGGTTAGGGTGAGATTGTGATAGAGGCATCCTATTTATATTTTTCACTAAAAAGTTTCACGAAATTCACACCAATAAAAAATCCATTAAAATCGTCGGATTTTTGAATACCACGAGATTGTGATTCCATTGTTTAAAATCCTAATTGAATATCAACAAATTTGGACGGATTCTAAAGTAATCCTTTAAAATCCTAATCGAATACCACGATACTTTTTTCAATCCATTAAAATCCTAATCGAATATCAACGGATTTTTTTGTCCAAAAACAATCCATTAAAATCTCAATCTATTACACCCCCATAAAATTTGGTCTAACAGTGAGGGATTTGAATAATTTGTATTATGTTATATTTCAATTCCTACCATTGTATCAAAAAAACAAAAATTCATTTGACTTGGTCATGTGAAATTTGTGTCTATCTTTTTCTTTTTTTTTGGGAACTGATCCTAGTTATTCCTTTGAGGCGAATCAGAACCCCCTGGTATCTCCACAGGTTCGACTCTTTGAGCCGCTTATGGGACTAATTCAGAGTTCGGGTGCGAGTCCAAAGATTACGGTACTTATGCCCCTCTCCAGATGGTATTGGAGGGAAATTCGAACCGAAGTCCTCTCCCACCACTCAGTCCCTATGCTACCAACTGAGCCACCACACTTGGGTGTATTTATCTTTTTCTTTATTAATGATAATTGAACCTCACCTATTTAATATATATATATATATATGAAGAAAGAGAGAAACACAAATTTCACATCTACTGATCTAACAAAGTGGATCTGCTCCCGTAAAAGTATGACAGACCAAGATCACCAATATTAATCAAACTGAGATTTCCATCCAAACAAAAAATAGATGTCAGATGGAAACACAACTGCATGTTTTCTGTCAATAAAGTAATTAATATGATACTAAAGCTCCTAATATAGTGTCTTGACACCAAAACTTTTTAAGACGCATACCCCAGGTACAAGGATTTCCACTTAAGTTAATAAATTTGCTCATGGACTCATGTCCATGGTAGTTAAAATTGAAATTTTACCTAAAATTGGAAGGAGGATAAAAAATCGTAAAACATAAAATTCTAACATAAGAAAAATCGTAAAAAATCGTAAAATCGTAAAAGCGTTTGGAATTTTGGTACATCGTTTTGATTGACAAAAATCGTAAAATCTAATATTTAAATCGGAATTTTAACTACCATGCTCATGCCATCATGCACGGAAGGGTATGACTGTAAATTAATTATTATTATTTTTAAAAAAAAAAAGGGTAAGTAGCAAAAGCCAGTCATACCAAGAAAGAAATGTCCAAGACAAACCTTTGTGAATTCGGAGAAAAACTTTAGAACTTGAGAAACATCCAAAGATCTTGTTTTGCTGCTGATTTTTAATCTCTCTATATCTGCCACAGAAGCTCTTCCCACACCAAAAGAGAATATGAGTTTCAGCTAACCTGTTCATCATCAACATGTCAAAAAAAGTCAGTTAACAAAATCCAATCAGCAAGATGAATAACATATTTTAGTATCTTTAATAATAGCACATATCTTTAAGCAGGAACGATGCAGTCTATGCTTTTCAAGATCCTCGTAAGGAAAATGGGAAGATATGAAACAAGCTCTCAAGTTTATGACAATGGTATTTATAGATCTACATCTACTCAAGAAGGAACAAGACAATTTTTTCACATTTTAACTAAAAATACCATCCTTATTTTTATAATATGCTTTTAATCTTTTGGAACACAAAGTGCGTCAGCTATAGATTAAAAGTTCATTTGATCACTAAGAGAGTTTCCATTTCAAGTCCACAATTTTGCATATAATAAATCTTCCCAGAATCTCTTGAAGTCCAATTCCACTTCATGTTTGTCCCTGATTTAATGGTACCAAAGGTCATTATCATATCTGTTCTGGATAGCCCACATGTATAGGCCCACTACTAGGCCCAATCTAAAAGGCCCAATTCTAGAAGGCATCATAGGATACCCCTCTTCCCCATGCACACCAGCTGCCCCTGCACAAGGGCAGGGGTTCAGCATGCCTAGCCTGAAAAGGTTAGGCTGGCTAGGTTGACTAAGGCTCTTGCTCTAAATACCCCCTCTCACATTGAGGAACAGGGCTTCTTCTTCTCCACTCAGCCACTACGGCTGTGACTATGGAGAGCCACCTTAGCCACTTCACCATGAGAAGCTCCACTAGTGCTTGGTTTCTACCATTGCCACTATGGACATCCCCTATATCAACATATTTCACCCTCCATGTGAGACATTTATGTACACCAATAGTACAATATCTAACATAATTAACCAAAGCACGTCATAATAGAAAAACAATCCATGAGAATCAGTTCTCACCAATTAAGGAGCATACAAGAATTTGAAATTAGATACATCAAACAAAAGGATTTCAATATACGGATTCCTCTTTATTTTGCATATGATGATAAGAAGTGATTAAAAGGAGATCTTTTTATCACAATATTTCAAATCCTAGAACTACACGAACGCACCCCTTCAACAAAAGCCTGAAAGCAAGAAAATAAGTTTCTAAAAACATTTCAAACTAGCCCATTGGAATATGCTAGTGAAGTGGTAAAGCTGAACATAAACTACATGATTATAATATATAAACAAAAATTATGAAATTAGAAGTTAGAACTACATGATAATATCTATAAACAAAAGGTATGAGATCAGCATTGCGAGACAAGTTCTTTGACATAAAAAAGTATTAAGATTTTAAAGTTAACGACATACAGATGATGCTTGTGGATGTTTTTGGCTGTGCTTCTATTGTCGTTGACCAAAAGGAGACCAAATATCTAGAATTATATAAGCAGCAACAACATGAATATTCAAACATCAGAACTCAGAAGCACAGAATCAGCTCAAACTACTCAACAAAAGCAATATTTATAACACTTTTGCCAGTTGCCACTATAATGACCGCCAAGAAATATACCTCACTTTACCTGCCTAGCATGTCTATGAAGTTGTATACTGTGCAATGGAATAAGTCCTTATAACGAAAGAAAACAATCATAGATCCATTGGCAACCATTTGAAATAATAACTGAAGTGAATCATCCTCTATCAAACTCTGTTGCTGATGGATGGGTTGCTAATGCTTTCATGATATGCACTACACTTCCCTCTAACTGCTTAAGCAAAATAGTTTAAAATGTTACCTGCTTAAGCAAAATAGTTAAAAATGAAATTTAACAAAACTCACATACATGTGACATAACATTAGTTAGAATTTCTTTAAGAAATATACAATTATGTATTTGGATTAAGAATTATGAGGAGAAAAAGTATTTGCATTTTTAATTTTGGAAGGAGAGCATGTTTAATTATGTTTTTTTTTTTAATTTTTTTTCTATAAGATTATTCATTACAATTATTTTATACAATAAAAATATACAAAAATTATTTAGTAGGTCTTATTTTAAGAATAAATTTTGAAAATTTGATGATGATACACGTGATTTCAAACCACCAACTGTCATCCTTAAAAGAAGATTACTAACTAGTAACTAGTATTGAGTACCAGTTTCGGTGTTATGTTGACTGAGATGTCATAAAGAGACTAAAAATTTGAGGATCATTTTTTAATGACCGCGAGAAACAGGAATGAACCAGAGAAGTTTAGCATAATATATTTTCATATAATAATCAAAGTGTTCACCAGAAATCTCCACATGAACAAATTCCTCTTTCAAAATGATGGAACCTGTTGGCATCCCTTACAATGAGGGCTCGTTGAGAGACTTCAGATGCTATCTTAAAGAATGTATGACAATCATCACAAATTCGAAGGTTCTTTGCGATCCGAATAGAAGTACCCTTTGGGGTAACAAGCAGTCCATAACCAAGTGCCAACCTCTCACTGTGTCCATATAACATCTGTGTTTTCTCTTCTTCACTAACATTATGGAATACAAACTTAGTTTGAGCCTTATACCCTCCTTTTATCTCCAAAAGTTTTATAAGCTGATTTAATTTTAGATAGATCTCATCAGACTGTGGATGAGACTTGTCCCTTGCAATGAAGGTGTGAATCTTATTCTCAACCTCTATCCAACTGCATCCTGGTTTCTTCTTCAACCCATTTCCTTTCATTCTCAACCTCACTTCTTCAACATCATTCCATTTTCCATCTGCTGCAAAGATGTTCGATATCAGTACATAATTTCCCGAATTCTCGGTACCCATTTGTAAGAGCTTCTTCGTAGCAAGCTCTCCTAATTCTTTGTTGGAATGAATACGGCAAGCCCCAAGAAGAGCACACCAGACTTCAGCAGAAGGTTTAAAAGGCATGTTTCTTGCAAAATGGTAAGCCTCTTCCAGGGAATTGGAACGGCCAAGGAGATCAACCAGACAGGCATAATGCTCTGGCCAGGGCTCCAATTGATATTCATATTTCATAATTTCAAAAAACCTCTTCCCTTCAACTATCAACCCTGAATGGCTGCATGCATATAATAAAGCCAAGAAGGTTATATGATCAGGAATAACATTTTCATCAGTCATTTTCTTGAATAAGTCAATAGCCTCATTTCCAAATCCATGCATTCCATTTGCATTAATCATAGAAGTCCACAAAATTAGATCTCTCTGCTTTACAGAATTAAATATCTTTCTTGAGTTCTCTAAAGTTGCACAGCGAGCATACACATCCACCAGGGAGCTAGCAATGGGTCCCTCCAAGGAGAAACCATTCCTAATCAGAAATCCATGAATCTCCTTCCCTTTCTTCAAAGAAGATAAACTAGCAGCCGCAGAGAGCACACTGACAAGAGCTATAGTATCAGGTTGAATATTATTTTCTTTAAAAGAGTAGAAAAGTTCAAGAGCCTCAATTGCTAGTCCATTTTGAACACAAGAAGTAATCATACTTGTCCAAGACACAATATCTTTGGATTCAATTGATTCAAACATACGTCTTGCGTAATCTATGTGCCCAACCTCTCCGTATACATTGACAATCGCATTTTGTAGTATAATATCAGCTAAATCACTTTTCAAAACATAACCATGAATTTCTTTGATGAAGTTTTTAGAATTCAACGCACTACAAGCCAGCAAAATGCTTCCAATCATCATGGGATCAACATCCATCCCTTCTAACTGAGCTTTCCGGAACAAATTTAAAGCTTCCAGATGGCATTCATTCTGTGCATAGCCAGCAATGGTTGTTGTACAAGAAATCAAATCTTTTTCAGGCATGCATTCAAAAACATGACTCATATATTTCACATAACAACACTTAGCATACATATCTATCAGGGTGTTCCCGATCTGCATTTCAGAATCTATTCCATTTCTTATTACATATGCATGAACTTCCATGCCATTCAATAAATTTCCTGTTCGACCTGACACTGAAATCATGTTTAGAACTGACACCTGGTCAGGCTTTTGACCAGAATTCTGCATATCCCGGAAGTGGTTTAGAGCATCACTATATAGATCATTTTGGACCAGACCAGAAAGCAATGTATTCCACGATATATTATCTTTGTAAAGCATACTTTTAAAAACTCTTTCAACATCCTCCATCTTACCCCATTTTGCATAAGTAGCAATCAAAGCATTGGCAACGTAAATATCAGCAAAATGGTTAGATTTCAAGATGACAGCATGTATCTCCATACCCAGTTTAATAAAAGATGGATCTTCACACGCTTGAAGAGCTGCAACGAAAGTGTACGTATTACTGGCAACACCAACCTTCTGCATTCTTCTAAAGAGTGACAATGCCTCTAAGAACTGACCTTCTGCTACATGTGCCGAAATAATAGAATTCCATGTTACAGTGTCCTCATTCTCCATCACAATACTCTCAAACAACAGCCTAGACCCATCAAGATCACCACATTTTGCATACATAGTAATAAGTGCATTACACACAAACACAAATGCACCATATCCACACTTGAGAGCCACACCATGGATTTCAGCCCCCAAGCGGCTCTCAAAAAGAGCACCACATGCTTTAAGCACACAAGGAAAAGTACAAGCATCTAGCGGCACACCCAGAAGTCTCATTTCTTTATACAACTCAAGGGCTTGAAGATATTTACCATTTGACACAGAGGCCCCTATCATAGCATTCCAGGTAAAAATAGTTCTCTCACTCATTCTATCAAACACCTTCTTTGCGTCAAGAAACGAGCCACACTTCCCATACATATGCACAAGCTTAGTGCCCAGAAACACCGAATCACACAAACCATGAGTTTTCACCAAAAGGGCATGCAGCTGTTGCCCTTGTTTTAGAGTTTTGTCAATGGCACAGAGCTCAAGAGCCAGAGAATAAGCCTGTTTGAGACAGTAGTGAGTTGCAAATGGGTCAGTGAAAAAGAGGGTTAAGGATTGGAAAGCATCTTTGAGGGTTCCTTGCTTGCAGGTTTCCCTCTGTATCTTAATTGAGATGGGTTTGCGAGAGAAGTTGGGAACTCCAGCAACAGGGCTCGGGTGAAGTCTTTCTGATATAAGGTGACAGTGTGGGATTGAAGTGGCCATGGTAGGGTGGGTGCAAGGATGAAGCTGCAATGAGCCACGCCTAAACAAAGATCTCATGCTGAATGGGCAAATCCAACAAGAATTTATCTATTTCAGATGTTGGAATTGATATAATGTAAAACTCTCCCATGACTATTTATCAGGATTTCTTTATTTCCTCTTTCACAGAGAAGAGAAATAACTGTTCTGTCAGTACTTACTCCTTGCATATGGTGGACACATTTTCTGTTTTCTCAAGCACTGCCAATTCTTTCTGCATAACATTCAAGAAAAGAGAATGAATAACAAATGACAAATGCAGGAAATGAGGTAAGAGAGATAAGTGACTTTTTTTCATAGCAGCTAATTGATTGGCTTACACTAAAAGAAAACACTCAACTTTGTAAAATGGCCTAACATTTATTTAAGCAATTAGAAATTCAAAGCTATATAACAATTCCTTATTAAATATTGACGTCTATAACAAGATAGACAAATTTATGGGAACTACATGAACTTTTGCAAGGAATTCAGAAAGCAGAAACACGACACATTATTTTTCCCCCACTATAAGTTATTCTGTTTTAATTTTTCTCTCTTCTTGTTATAACTTTGAAGGAAACGAAACAGACGGCAGCTGAAATTTCAAGTAACTGCTCAGATTTCTCAGAAGAAGAAAAAAAGTAAATCCATATGGTTCTAGGTAGGTTTCAACTTTCCAGAAATATTTTGGAATGAATTGTGCATATCTATTGGGAAAATACATGAATTATGCATTAAAGTTGGGTTCTTTTGAATTTAGAAGCATATGCTGCTTTGTCAATTTGCAATGCAACTAGCAGTCCGCACAGTGAAGAACTGAAGATAATTTTCAAAAAGGGCAACAAATTTTAGTAGCATCAAAATATGCCATACTAAGTTGAAAACTACACACCTAAGGAATAAGGAACAGTATATAAAAAGCTCTGAACTGATTAGGTTGTGAAACTGATTTGCTAAGGTTTATACCCATAATCTTTCCCATGTAAGCATGTATTATTATTTAAGCAATTTAACAAAGGAAATCGATTGCTGCCATCACAGAGGATCCAAATGTGTATTTCTGTCTATATATAATAATTTTTCCTTCTCAGTAACCACATTGCCAAAGCTCCACTATTTTATTATAAGTCTTCCATTCCAAACTATACTATATAATTAATTAATTAATTAGTTAGTTCCCTATGCATATGAGCAAACTAAATTTGTAACAACGTCAATCCTTATTATTATTATCATTATTATTGAGTAAGATAGAAAGAATTGAAAAAATAAATAGGTAAAAGGCGTGGAACCTGAAGAAATTTGGGGTCTTGGACGAGAGTCGAGACGCTTCAATTCGGCAAGAATTCGGTGTTTGCCTCTTTTATCAGTGAATGTTGTTCCTTCCTGCAACTGAAACACCAAGAAGACAGTCTTTGTTTGTTAATTTTGTCTCCGCAAGGATATTCTAACTACAAAAAAATTCTTACTACTAATTTACTACTTATCACATCATTATTGTATCAAAGAGAGAATGTTAAAAAAAATTTGAAGAGAGAGAAAATATTAATCTAACGGTGATTAGATAGGTAATAAGTTAATAGTAAAAAAATTTGGTAGTGAAAATATCTATCCTCGACTTGTTTTGTACACTAACCAAGCGCCAACCACAAGTTGGATTAGGGATGCCACATAAAGCTGTCAAAAAGGCCCTAACCCCATGGGTGGCCCCTCATTTTCAGCCCTCCCAATTTTTAGCCCTCGTATAGTAGGATCCCCTTTTTTTTTGGCCCTCGTTCTTTTTGGGTTACATTGCCACATGCCCACCCAAGTGATTAACTATTTAACTAATTCAAGGATTTCATTTTTAATGTTTTGTAATAAATTTCTCTCTCCCGTGGGCTATTTTTAAGGTAGACATTCCTTTTGCCCTTTCTTAGATTCGATGAGATTAAGTATCAATAGGGATGGATCTCTCTCATGTTATCATGTACTATTTATTGATGAGATAAGAAAGAAAAAGTATATAATTTTTAAATGAGTGGTTGTGATTAAATAACATGATCACATGACTACTTTTTCACATGAAAATTCACTTCCGTATCAATAAATAAAGGGTTATGTTTTTGTCCAGGAGAAAAATATAACTCCTGCATAAATATAAAAAAATCCTGTCAGTTTTTTTTTTAAAGTGGTGAGACCTACAACATTTTTGTGTATGCAACCGAAGACCAAATATCTCTGGTAGAATCAATTACCCCAAGAATAAATGAGATAAAATATTCTACTCATCTTCGATATTATTGAATCAGAATATCAAATTTTAAAATGTATTAAAAAATAAAAGAATATAAACAAGAAAAGATAACTTCAACTTAATTTAAAAAAATAGTAATCAAGAGTCAACTAAGCTATTACATTACAAGAATATGCAACTATATACTTGTTAATTGATAAGAAATTACTCTTTATTTATCATATATTTTTATATAATAATTATTTGAATATTTCACTGTAAATATAATTTTTATAATGATATATCTTTTAAAGTCCAAGCTGTCATTTTTTTACAAAAATATTATTTGTTTACCATTATATTCAAATATTGTTAGCATTTAAGTATTTACTTGTAATTAATTATAAAATGCTTTAATAACTTCTCTCTTGTTATTATATTCCACGTTAATAAAAAAAAATCAAAAAGTCGAAAAGTGAAAATAAAATATGTCCTTTTGGACGGACATGTTTTGCATATTATAGAATCCATCCTCACCTCCTCCCTTTTTTTTTCTTATATTCCATTATTTGGAAAAAAAAACAATAATATATTTTGATTTCAAACTCTTCAAATTGATAGAAACAAAAAAAAAATTAGATGAAACAAGATAGAATATATTCCTTTGTGTTTATTTTATTTTATCACATTTTAGATAATCTAAATAATGCTAATTAATGACATTTCATTCCATTTCCTCTTTCTTATTCGTTTATAGGGGTGTTCGCGGTCTGGATTGGATCGGTTTTGGAAGCAAAAATCCAATCCCTTCGGTTTGATCATATAATCATCCATTCGGTTTTGATTTTTTTTCAAATCCGATCCGATCCAATCCAATTTTTTTCGGTTTGGACTGGATTGGTTTTCGGTTTTTTGAAAATCTTAAAATTTATTTCATGATTATTGTGCAAATAACATCTTTTGTATATATTGGCTTTGTAATTATTTATTTTTGATATACAAAAGCATTAGTAAACTATAATATAATTTTTTTTAATTTTGGCAATGAGATATGAAGCTCTACAAAGATAAAATTTTGTTGATGGGATTTGACTAGATTTTTTCTTGGGTTTAGTTGATGGGTTAATGAGTTTTGGGTTTAGAAATTTTTAGGCTATGATTAGGGAAATATCCAAGTAGGTAAAGGAAAATTAATATATTAGATCGATTTGGATTGGATCAGTTTTCATCAACTCATCCAAAAACCGATCCAATCCAATTAAAGTTTGCGGTTTTTAATCGGTTTTCGATTTTCGGTTTATTTGGTTATTGGTTTTTCGGTTCGGTCACCGCGGTTTGAATCGGTTTGGATCGATTGATGAACACCCCTGTTCGTTTTCATTATCCAAATATAGCTACAATGTTATCTTCATCTTCTTTTTTTAAGTAAACAAGGAGGGCAAAGGCCAAAGACAAAATAGAAGGAACCAAACTATGATAAACCTAATTTATCAGACTCCACAAACAGCTGCAAGCCATTTGGGACTGAGTGAAACAACTCTAAATCCTGGTATCTCTTGAAGGCAAATAAAAGTCATACAATCAGCGCAGAAATTTGTTTCTCGACCAGTATGGATGAACTTCAGAAGCCAATTCTTATAACTCCATCTCAGAATTTATTGGACAATGTTTTCAAGTGGAGACATATTTATCTGTCATGTAACCAACTGAATAGCCATGGACGAGTCGCTTTCAACCTCGACCTGAGAAGCATGCATTTGCCATGCCACCTCCAGGCCTTTTTATAATTGCCCTACACTCAGCTCTGTGAGTGGGGAGCAGGCACCAAATCCAACTATCCAATTACCCTTCTCATCTGTAATCAGCCCTCCGCATGCAACTCTGTTGGATTGAAGGCACATTGCAGCATCCACATTCAACTTCCAACACTCCAGCTAGGATGTTTTCTAAATATACTTCTTTTTTTTATGATTTCTATTATGCATTTAAGAATGTCTATTTAACGAGGGAAATGGTCTCGTGTTGGAAAAAAATAAATAATTAAATAATATGGTCCGAAAGATCACAAGTCACAGCCATAAAAAGATAAAAGACGTGACATCATCAGAACATCACAACCACAAAAAGATAAATCAACGGTTATGATTTTGTAATTATCTATTATAATATTTTTTTCTCTCTTTCTTTATCAACATTGATTTACTTTGTATTATTATAATTCTTCACATGGCTATGTCATTTTTTTTTTCACATAATCGGATCCACTTAACAAGAGTTATTCTTTGTTGGGTACATAAAAGGGCCCCAGGCCCATACTTTGTTATTATTAGTATTTAGTATATTGATATCTTTTTTTGTTGTAGTATATTGATATCCTTTAAATACATCTGAAACACTTACGCCAGTTACGTAGCCACATCCAAGCCAGCAGGTGCCTTGGAACTTGTTTTTTTTTATTTTTACTTTTATATAATTATAATTAATTAACTAAGGTAAAAATTATAATTTGACACCACCTAAATAGAAAATCAAATACTCAATACAAAGTAACAACAAACTAGAGGTGGCAAAGCGGGCTGCCCGCCCCGCCCCACCCCTGCCCACCAAAAGCCCGCCAAAAAGCGGGTTGGCCCGCCCCGCCCCGCCTTCGAAGATGGGCTAGATATCTCAGCCTGCCAAGCCCGTGACATTTTACACTAAAAATTAAAAAAAAAATCAGCCCGGGCGGGCTGGCAGGCTTGGCAGGCAGCGGGTTTGAGAAACT